GACCCTCCTTCCCACCCCGCCTTTGGGCTCCCCCTTCTCGACACCCCTTCACCACCGGCCCCCGCTTGTGGGTCCGTCTTCCCCTTCACTCCTGGCTCCAACCGCCCCCGACCCGCCTGGGTGAGCCCCTTTCCCCCGCGTCACTCCTTGCATTGAGCTCCTTGGACTCTGACTTCCGCTATCCAGATGCACCTGTGATGAAATCCTTTCTAAGGTGCCTGTGGGGATCCCAAGGTCCTGACCCACCCCTGGGGCGTTCGGGCCACTCCCCTCATTACAGTGGCGCTCAGTATTTCCCCTTGTGTTGGGTTCTTACAGTCCTATAGGCAAAGGAGCCTGCCCTCCACCCTCCCCTCAAAAAACCACTTCACTTATGCGCCTGTGCCCTGGCTTCTCTCTGTCCCCCTATTGTATAGGGCCCAGTAAAGCAGCCTCAGTGGCCTGGAATGGAAGGATATTGGGGCGTTAGGGGTTTTTTTTTTCTCCCCTCTTTATTTTATCTTATCACTCCTATCTTGAGGCTGCCTATGTCTCTTGTCCCATCTTGTGAATAGGTGGTTCCCATATTTGCTGGCAGGAAATGCCGTCTCTGCTGAGGCAAAACAATTATAGGCAAAACCTCATGTAAGTGCAGAAAGCTGTCTTGCTGGAGAAATGGCTAAGGAAAGGGTTCTGTTGGGTTGACTTAAAAAAATGTGAGTGAATCTGCTTCCTAAATAGTGGTGGGGAAGGCAAGTGAAGTTAGAGTCCCTTTTTGCTACTGTTTGATTTTAAGAGTTCACTGCTCTTTCTGCTATGTTTATCTCAAAAATAATGTGCTGGAAACCTGGATTAGCCCATGTTTTAAAAACTGACAAGCCAGCAGATACACTCTATGCACAGCCAGATAAATGAGATGCATTTCCTTTCTGTTGTAAACAATGCACAGTATTTCACTTATTAGGGCTAGTCTACATTGGCAATAGACTTAAAGGGCTTAGTGCATTGAACTGATAATACAGTGAAGGTAAATGTGCATTTCTGTAGCCATTCTGACAGGGGTTTGATGTTCAGTACATCTTTTGAAAGAACATTCATCATTTGAGACCAGTTCTGATCATTCTGTATAATATTTTAATTTGAACAGTTGAGCAATCTCTTTAATTGGAACTGGCTAGTTGCAGATTAATGCAGGTACTTGAATTTGCTAAATGTCATAAGTGATTTATTGCATCAAGCTGTAGTTAAAAGTAGGTGGTTCAGGAATTTGAGGTTTGTGACTTAGCTGATGTGGCATTTCACATCAGCTAAGTTTTTGCTTATTGAACTTTGATACTGATTTGGAACCTGCTGAAATATCTAGAACTTTCTAAAATAGACCATGAAAGTTCTAGTTACGTTAAAGAACTTTACAAAGTAAGGAGTTAAATACTGGGAGCATGGTAACAATAGGCAAATAGCAACTTTTGTATGCTTAGCAGTTAGCTCATTCTCAACCTTGAACATTACAACCTGCTTTATTTTAATTCTGATACTCTGTTTTGGAGCCTGTTGCAAGGGGATATTGACTAAGGCACAGTGTTTCATCCCATGATTTTCAAAATGTACCATGAGATATTTCGCCTGAATGGTCACTGAAAGCAAGAGAGACCTCGGCTTAATATATAATCTGAAGGACAGTGCTCCTAACTGCAGTATTCTCTTTCCCCTCTACCCCATTTGCCCCTTCACCTCCCAACCCATTGCCTTGTGCTCTCAATTTTAGATACATTTATATGTATTGCACTGGCATCTAGGGGCCTCAGTCAGGGATTTGGGCACCATTGTGCTAGGCATGGCACAAACATAAGATGATGATGGGCTCTGGTCTAAAGAGCTTACAGTCTTTATAATTCCAAAAGCTGTTGCAGAACCTGAACATATTACCACCTGTCCCAAATGTCAAACACAACATTGCATTAATAGCCTAGCTGATAAACCTGATACTATCCAAGGCTTTGTAATTGAAATGTTATCTGGTATTATGTGTTGAATTGAAACAATGTAGAAATATGAGGGTCTCAGGAAAGATGCGGGTCTCAGCAAAGATGCCGGTGATGTAAAATAGTGCTGTAGATCAGCACGTAGTGGGTGACTTTTGTTAGTATCTGCGTAGAAAATGCCATAATAATAACCACATCTAATACTTATTGAATAAAGTTTCTCTCAAGCACTTTGTTACCAGTTTAGACAACAAAACCCAGAGCAGCTGGCTCTTATCAAATGTTTAATGAGGGGGGGGGGGGAAATTGTGACTTCATATATATATATATATATATATATTTTTCACTAAGCTCTTTCTAGGAAAAAGTTATAAACTAGCAAGTGAAATTTTGCAGATATAGATTTAGCCTTCGTGGTTGTGGGGGGGAGACGGAGGAGGGAACAGAACTTCCAAGATAATTATGCTATTTTTCAGATATTTTAACTACTGATAATGCATAAACTAACAACACTTGTGAGTTAAAAATGTGTAACAGTATAATAAATGGATAGTTATCTTCTATGTACACTATACAAGTTAATACAA